TGTTCTTACAATTTTTATTTTCCTCCAACGAATCAATTTTTATTTTTTTATCAACAAAACACTTATTAATTTTCAAGATTTACATTATAATTCATGCAATAAGTTTTTATTTTCATCAATAGAGCAATTTTTAAATTTCATACTTTGCGTTATAATTCATCCATTAAGTTATTATTTAATTGATGTTACAAATATTTTAAAGGTTGCATTAATATATTAGTGATGACATTCAATGAATAAAAAAGAAATTACATACGGAAATTCAATACCTAACATTCAATTGATTTTTTTTTCTTTACAATTTTTACTTTTCATTAACAAAACCCTTATTACTAATTTATTTAATATTTATCATTTGATTTAGAATTAATATAAGTGGTGAAATATTTAATTGATATTTATCATTGGGTTGGAATTAAGATAAGAAGTAAAATTGACATTCAATTATTAAAAAAAAAAAAATCAACGAAAATTTAGTGACTTATCATTCAATTTAGTATTTTATTCTTACAATTTTTATTTTTCATCAACAAAACTCTTATTAATCTTTATGATTTACATTATGATTCATCCATTGAATTTTTATTTTTCATTAACAAAGCAATTTTTATTTTTATCAACAAAGCCCTTATTAATTTTCATGATTTACATAATAATCCATCTATTAAGTTATTATTAAATTGATGTTACAAAATTTAAAAGTTGCATTAATGTGTTAATGAGGTAACAAATGTGCTAAGGATAGCATTAATATATTAATTAGGACATTCGATCACTAAAAAAAAATATTGTGTACAAAGAAGCATTATATACACATATATACACACACACGCGCGCAATTGTAATTTTCCCTTTAAAAATATCAATTACCTCTATTATTTTAAAAAATAGTATAAGTAAATTAGTACATATATCATTTATCGATACAAAAAATGTGTGACGCACGTGCTTACTGCTAGTTTTTTTTTTTAAAAAAACACACTATTCCACCAATTTTAATTTCAAAAAATGAAGGCCAAACGGGAACTTAGCTCCTTTTTATTTTACATCCCCTTTTTATTTTGGCATATTTAATTTTTTTAATTAATCGAGAGCTTATTTGATAAGGTAAATTATATTCATATTATCATTTTTATTTCTTACACCACATTTTAATTCTCAATTTTTGTTCATTATAACATTTATATACCTAAATATTTTTTCATGACATTCTTATCTTTAAACTTTTCATTGGTTAACGCGTTCTGTATGTGACAACAATTTATATCCAAAATAAGTCGTTGAAATAGAGTAAAGTGCAAAAAATATTTTTTTTTCTAATTTTAAAGTATGAAAACAGAATATTTTGATGTAAATTATCATCAATGATGAGACGTACTAATTAATGAAAGGTTGAATATAAAAATTTTACTATAAAATTAAAAAATAATAGAAACAAATGAGTAAAGATTGAGGGGCTTAATTGCAATTAAAATGTGATGTAACAAGTAAAAATTTTAATATCATTATAATTAGAGATTTAAACGAGCTGGGAGGAGCTAGCTCGAGCGCGATCCTACAAAAATTTGGTTCAAACTTTTTTGGTCCAAGCAGAGCCAAAGTTTGATAAAAAAATCCATGACTTGGCACGAGCTTTTGGCTTGAGTCTTACTAAGCTGAACATGCTCAATTTTTTTCTTAATACAATTGCCTGAAAATGGCAGCATCGTTGTTTGATAAAGTATGCAGCCATGCTAAAATTTTCAGGCAGCCAAACAGACAGTTACATCTGCTTAAAAATAAAGGTAGCTATACTGGCAACCATGCAGCTACTCACAGCTACCTGAAAAAAAAAAAAAAGATAGCTTGTTGCTTGAAAATGCGGGCAACAGGATATAACTGATTGCAGACTATTGCTTTTGCAGGTAGTCGCAGCCTACTACTTGAACAAGCAATTGTAGCCTATTGCCTGAAAATGAAGGCAATCGTAGCTGCTTGAAAATGAACCTCAGCTAGCTACCCGTGACATGAGCCATTGTGGCCTATTACACAGGCCAGCTCAGGTTCGAAAATTGGGTTTAACCTGAGCCTTGTATTGGGTCCATTGAGCCTGCTTGAGTTTTTCATGGGCTATTCAAGCCAGGGGCAATTTGAGAATCCTAAACATAACCACCTTATTTGATAACACAAGGACAAGAAAGAGAGGTGAATAAATTTTAGATGGTATAGGAAGAATGCTTTTAAAAAACACAGGCTATGGAAAAACATCTAGAAGTTTCAATTGGCCGAAATGAATTTCTAGACTCGTGGATTTATCGACATCCAGTTCGTAAAAAGTTTTGATTGAAAAATCATATCTAAGGGTCTGTTTGATTGTAAAGATTGAATTTTGGTGGAAAGAAAGCGAATTTTAGGGAATCGAATTGTTTAGAAATTATTTTTATTGAGAATTGTCAGTTAATAGTGTTTGATTGGTATAATTTTTTACTAGAAAAATGTTGAAAAAAGTGTTATTTAGTGTTCGTTTGACTTTATTTTTTATGTAAGTTGTCAATTTAAGGGATATCTACTTCTACAATTATTTCTACAATTTGTTTTCATTACCAAAAAAAAAAAAGATTGAAAAATCATCTATATTTTGATGTTCATTTAACTTTGTTTCACATGAAAATTGTCAATTTAAAAGATATCATCTTTTACAATTGTTACTAGAATTTGTTTTCATTGCAAAAAGAAAAAAGAAAAAAATCGAAAAAAAAATTGCATGGAAAATCAATTTCCACCAACCCTATGAGAAAGTAAATTCCTCAAAATCAAGGAAAAGCCGGTTACATGAGGGCAAAACTATAAAACCAATTACTTGGAAAATTTGGCAAATCAACACTCAAAACATGGAAAATGAAATTTCATTTCCAAGTTCCATGGAAAAAAAGCCTATCAAACAGGCCTGAAGTTCTATTCTTAGCCTGTGATATTTGAATTTTATAAAATAGTGAGTTGAACGTTAAAGAAAAGAAAATCAATTGAGATGAGTTAGTAGTGATGTGCAAGATCAATAAGTTTGAACTTTTATGCTAGATGTGTCGTTCTTTTGAAGGACTGTGTATGTCAACTTATTTTTTTGATATTTTCACTTTTATTTAAGGGTTGGTACATTTAAAATATAATCAACCAAGTTTATAAGATGAAATTGAAATAAAAAATCAATTTAATTAAGTTTTATTGCAATTATTTTCCATGGTTTGTTGCGAAGTTGATGATAACCAAGCTAAAAGTTTTTATACTCAACAGATGGAGGCAAGGTTGAACGTTGATCTCGAATATACTACGTACATAAGGAATTATAACAAAACTTCGACGGAATAATCATTTGAAATTCACAAAACAAAACTAGAACTCAATGGCTATAGCTATGAAGTGAAATTGATTATCATAAGCTAAGTAAATCCAAACTTTTACTCGTTAAGAATTAAAATAAAGAAACACGTCGATAACAATTTTAATAGAGACAATGAATCCAAATGAAGAAGAACATTGCTACATGTACAATATGGTGTATACTTTAGTTTACATTTTGTTACGTGTCATTATTTTATTGGACATTTTAAATTTCAAACAATTTTTTCATCGAATTGATAATTAACAACAATGTAAGTGTCAACCAAAGCGTGAAAAATCAGTGTACAAATAGCAAAATTCAATGAAGAAATGGCTATACTACTTGTACACTTTTAGTGTAAATAATCCTTTACACCCTCTCATATCGAGGGGTCGGCATGTAATAATATATACAAATAAATAAGAGAAGTGCTATATGTACATATTTGTCTACATAATGATATCCATAATTACACATGGCACTGGATTCAACCTTTAATTCAAATCTCACACTTGTACATTAACAATCGAATGATTGCTACATCACATTATGGATACCATTATGTGCAATAATTATGTATAAGTAGAAATTTTCAATTAAGAAATGGATATGCTACATGTTTAGTGCTTGTTTTGTACCCCATTATTTGTGAGTAATGTATTATGGAATAGTGATTAATGTTGAAATGTGCGGTTAAAAAAGAAGGAAATTTTTTTGATTTACGTGTAAGATTATTTTAATGAAAAATGTGTGGTTGAAAATGAGTACTGTAAAAAAAATAATGTGGTAAAATGTGAAAAAAGGTATACAAACAGAGCCTTAAATGCTGGCACTCTTCATGTGAGGGTGTAAAAGGATTATGTACATTAAAAGTGTACAAGTAGATTAATTCGAGAAAAAAATATCTATTCATTTGCACAAATCGATAACCTTACTCATAATTAAAAAAAATGTCGTGGCATACTTAGCCCTTACTTAAGCCCACTCTTTGGAAAAAAAAATACATTTTTAATAGTATTTTAATAGTTTTCAACCACAAATCATCAACAAAATAATATTACACACAACTTAATTTTTTTCTTACTTTTTCCGCTTGTTTGGGAGTGATTTTTCACCTAAAAAATTTGATTTTTTGACCGTTATTTTACTATTTCAATCGTAAAATTTAACTTCTTTTTTCATAGATGATCCCCACTTTTCTCCTAACGGTTACAAAATCAATTCTCAAAATCACTCCCAAATGAAACCTTAACAACAAATTTCAAATCAATACATTATTAAAAAATACATTTTTATGGCAAAATTGGGTCACAAATAATTATGTGGTTTTAGACGGCTTGATCACGTTATGATTGTAGTAATTATTAACATTTTTTAATGCAATCGCCGAAAATAATTTATGCCGGGGAAATAAATATCATGACAAAGCTAAGAACAAGAAAGCAAGGGCAATTTAGTCATTTCACAAGGGTCAAACAGTCAACACTATGTAACTCACCCCGGTAGTGGTTTTGCATCGTGCCGCAACGCAAGCCTCTATTGCATGATTGACGAGCCACTTCCCTTACGTGGCAGCTTCTCATTGATCCATTTCAAGTCTTCGGGATTCAAAGCCTTCACACATCAAACAACAAAAATAATAAAGTTTCTCTAGTAAAAAACACAGTCACTCTCATCCTCTTCCTCTCTCTTGAAACTGTGTTTTCTCTCTCCTAAGAAACCCAAATTTCACCCCCAATTTCCAACACCCTTTAACCTGAAGACTTGCTTTTTGGACTCACCAATGCAGGATCTTCCGATCAGGCCTAAATTCGAAGCCTGAGATTGCAAAATTTTGTTGTTTTTTTGTGGGTTTTTGAAGAATTTTGGAAATGCTGGAAGCTGCAGTGGAGAGTAATATACACAATGGAGGATTTTCTTCACACTCTTCACAGTTTCAGAGCTGTGGTGAGAGCAGTGAGGAGGAACTTTCTGTGTTGCCACGTCATACTAAGGTGGTGGTGACTGGAAATAACCGCACCAAGTCTGTACTGGTGGGGCTTCAAGGTGTGGTGAAGAAAGCTGTTGGGCTTGGTGGATGGCATTGGCTGGTAAATTCTTGCAAAAGTTTGAGTCTTTTTGGGATAATGAATTTGAAGTTGGATTAGTAATGTAGGTTTGTTTATATAAAGAAAATGTGAGATAATTTAGTAAATTTTATTTTTTGAAAATTTGAATAAAACTATATGTAATTTGAGTATTTCTCGAATTTTTATGGTAATAAGTTCCATTTTTGTGAGTGAATTTGAGATGGGATTTTTTCAATTTTTTGTACTTTTATATTATTGGATTACAATTTATTCAAAATTATGAAGCTAAAAACTTTTTAGAGTGAATTTTGTTCAAAATTTTCTCTTTTGATTGCTCTGTGTATGCTAAATTTGGGTATTTCATAATGGAATTTGTTGCATGTGGGTTTTCGTGAGTGGATCTACTGTTATCATAAATGTTTTTGAATGTGGGATAGTATAAATAGTTTGTGACTTTTTTTTTTTTAATGAATTTAATGTTAGGATTTATTTTATTGCAGCTTCAAAGTGATATTAACCTCTTTCATTCATAATTTAAGATTTATTTCAACAAAATAATGGGGTTTTCTTTGTTTTCTTGGTTGAATTTTAAATTATTTTAAGGGATGGTGGTGGAATAATTGATTGTTATTTCACCATTTATAACTGGGAGTTGGAGTTAAATATAGTTGGTGTTCATTTATTTCCAATTCCTTCTAGTATAAAATTGACCAAATCACGGATTGCGAACACCAAAATTTTCGGCTCAACTGGTTAATTTTCCTTGAAAGTCTATCTGAATTTTATTTTAACATAAAAAGTTGTTTATTATTGCCTTTTTCCCCCTTATTATTCCCTTTGGCAGAAAATTAGTCCTCTTTGTAATGCTTATTTGTAATCTCATAACTAGCATGAAAATTCTTGGTTTTGAGAAGTGGGCTTCAATTTTATCACGAGTATACTCATTCGCAGGTTCCTACAAGCAGAAAAATATACAAAATTTACAATGGATTTATGACTTTATTCTGTTATTTGATTGTAAAATATGGTTTCTGTAAAATGCAGGTTCTTACCAATGGCATAGAGGTAAAACTTCAAAGGAATGCTTTAAGTGTAATTGAAGCTCCTACTGGAAATGAGGATGATGATGACATTGAATTTGAAAATGTGCAGTGGAATGGCTCAGATATGGGTGAGTTCGATTTTAAAAATATAGTCATAGTTTTGCTTCTTGCTTGATAAGTAAAAATAATAATTTATATTTTAAAAAATAAGCACAAGTACAATTGTTCAAACCCTGAAAACCATTTTTGGACATGTAATATTTTCTGTGTTCCCCGTATCTATATAAATTCAGACCCCCCTCACTTGAATTTTGTTGGAAAACTACGGACATAAGTTTAACAGTGTCCTTGACATGTGGCCATGGCCCAGAAATTGTTAGGATTAAGCTCTAGTCCCAATCTTGAGAGCAATAATAAACAAGACGAGACACAGAAAAGCACACTCAAAAACACAAAGATTTATAGTTGTTCAACCTCAATGTGAATCTAAGAGTACTTATTGCTTCTGATTTTTACTGTAATGAAGAAGGGGAAATACAGGTATTTTCTTTTGAAACTTTTCTTCTCTCATACTGAGAAGAAGATCCCTCGTATTCCTATTTATAAAGTAGAAAATTAGTGGAACTTCAACGGAAATGCTGTCCCGTGCCTTGTACCCCAATAGCTTTAGTGAAAGATAAAAGTGTTTTTTCTTACTTTTCTTTTGGATTTAGTTATTTCAATTTAATTTATGGTGGAAAGGTTTTTTAGGTTGTTTCCATAGGATTCTATGTTTTTGTATACCTTTTATTCCAGCAAGCTCTGCTTGTGGCAATACTTTATTCTTGTTCTTTAGGCCCACCAAAAAATGTAATTATGCTCTCTATTCTTTTTTTCTAGCATCCGATGAAACTCAAAAGTCTCATAGGTCAAGGCATCGAATGCACAGGCCGACTGGGTCATCTCACAGGACTCTTAGCCAGTCTCTCTCCTGTGACTCACATTCTAAAGGATCTATTTCTACTCCAAGGGGGTCCACGGTGAGAAAAGCTTTACACTTTTAGAGTTTATCTGTTATCATTTTTACCTTATTTTTTATTCTTTAATCAAGGCTATGACAATGTGTACAAATTTTACTTTAAAACACCGGTGTACAGAAAATTGACCTTAGCAAACTTGAGATGGCTGCATTATGGAGATATTTGCAGCACTTTAACCTTGTAAGTGGGTTTTTATGCTTGAGGAGACTCGTATCTATTTTTAGGTTGGGTTAAATACACAGATCGTCAGTAAACTTTTATAGCAAAATTTCATGTTTGTTGCTAAATTCAATTTTTTCTAAGTTGATTGTAAAACTTAAACTTGTTACAATTTGGCCACTTCATGCACGTTTGTCAGTTTCGCTTATGGTCAAATTGTAACAATGTTCTAGTTCAAGGAAGAACTTGGTGCAATATGAATCTAGCGACGAACATAAAATTTCTTCAAAATTTCAATGTCGACTGGTGATTTTAACCCTTTTAGGTTTGATCAAAGCAATTATAGTTCCAGCGCTAATGCTCTGAAATTTCTCGTCAGGTGGATGCCATTCCTAACCCGTCCAAGGAGCAACTCATAGATGTTGTTCAGAGGCATTTCCTATCTCAGGTATTTGCCGACATTTTTTTCCCCAACTGATTATTTCTTGTTTTGCTGATCAAGAACCAGATTATTCTCAAGATATACCATTATACAATGTATATTTGCAGTTTGTATTATTTATTGGGCTTATTGTCTTCTGTTTATGTAGCAATTGGATGAGTTGCAAGTCATTGCCGGGTTTGTGCAGTCCGCGAAGAGGCTGAAAACTGTTTGCAAATGACATTTGGAAGATTACGAAAAGTCATTTGCTGACTCTAACAAACTATGATTTCTGGTTGCTCACTCCAGTCAAATCTGTAATATAAAAACTCCGGTGTTTATCCCTTTAGTTCTATAGGCCATTGTCCAAGTCTATAGAGGTTATCGCTTCTTGGTAGCTGTAAATATAGTTATATGTGAACCAGTTGACTAACACTAAGAAGCCTTCTTGGTCGAGCTTTGGTTGAATGTATGCTAAATGTATAGTCGTATGCCTAAATGATCATTCAACCATCAGAAGCTTTACATGCGTATTTAAATTAGAAATTGAGAAGCTGACCATATTAGTACTTATTAACTGTTCTGTACAGTTATTATTTCTTGTTCGAAATATATATATGCATCTTTCGCTTATATTGTGTCCACAAGTCATTCAAATGTATCCTTTTGAATCATGTTTTGACCTTGTAAGGTGATGCTCAAGTTGTTTCAAGAATACGATCGTATTGCAAAACTCGGTAATTTTTCTGCTTTCATCGATATTTGGAAAGTTCTCGAATACAAAAACTGTTTGCAAATGACATTTGGAAGATTACGAAAAGTCATTTGCTGACTCTAACAAACTATGATTTCTGGTTGCTCACTCCTCCAGTCAAATCTGTAATATAAAAACTCCGGTGTTTACCCCTTTAGTTCTATAGGCCATTGTCCAAGTCTATAGAGGTTATCGCTTCTCGGTAGCTGTAAATATAGTTATATGTGAACCAGTTGACTAACACTAAGAAGCCTTCTTGGTCGAGCTTTGGTTGAATGTATGCTAAATGTATAGTCGTTTGCCTAAATGATCATTCAACCATCAGAAGCTTTACATGCGTATTTAAATTAGAAATTGAGAAGCTGACCATATTAGTACTTATTAACTGTTCTGTACAGTTATTATTTCTTGTTCGAAATATATATGTGCATCTTTCGCTTATGTTGTGTCCACAAGTCATTCAAATGTATCCTTTTGAATCATGTTTTGACCTTGTAAGGTGATGCTCAAGTTGTTTCAAGAATACGATCGTATTGCAAAACTCGGTAATTTTTCTGCTTTCATCGATATTTGGAAAGTTCTCGAATACTAGCTTTCGACATGTTTAGTACGTTAAAATGGATCGAGTAGAACCATAGGACTAACAAAATTTTGAAAATCAGTCTGGTATAATGTCTCTATTTGTTTAATCTTTAATTGTCATTATCATTCTTGGCAAATCCCATCCATCAAGGCGTAATTAGCTGAAAATATGTTGAAAACTTTTACTTAAAGACCCACTAAATTTAAACAAAAAGAGAGCACGCAAAAAAAGTTTAGTTGGTGGTGGATTTTCTTGCATAATTTATACCAACTGCTTCTGATATATGGGGTTTGGTATAATCCATATATTCTCACTCCTCCCCACTTATAAATTCGTCTCTTCAAACATGTATTCATCACACTAATGTTTCACGAAGACAAGTTCAACACTTGACAATGATTTGGTCCATCATAAAAGCAAGGATTGGACTAATCCTTGTTTTCGTAACATTTACGACCCTAATTTCAGCTCAATCGCACTGTTATATTTCATCTTATGATCACAATCTTACTCCGACTCTAAATCATCGTAGCAGTGGCAATAGGAGTCCGTGTGTGCATAAGGTAAGCCGACCACCACCACCTCAACGAAAAAGGATGCACAGAACACCACCACCTCAACGAAAAAGGTTGCACAGAACACCACCGCCACCTCCGCCTCCTGCGTGGTTCTACTATTACTCTCCTCCACCTCCTAGTCCGTCACACTTGCCCAACCATCCGCCACATGTAGCCTTGTCACCACCACCTCCTGCATGGTTCTACTTTTACTCTCCTCCGCCTCCGAGTCCGCCAAACTTCCCGCACCATCCACCGCGTGCACCCTTGTCGCGACTTCAGAAACGTCATCTTCCGTGAGCATGAAAGAGTTAATCAAGGCATACAAGTGAACCGAATTGGCAGCATTATTTCCCATCAGCAACAGCTACTAAGGGAGCCACTTTCACTAAGTTAGAGGTTGAGACATGACAAAAGTAAAATGCCATAATGCTTGATTTATGATTTGATTTTGGCTTCTTCTTTCTTTTGGCAATAGTTATGGTTAGGGTTGGATATGGTGTGATTCGGTTCGGTTCTAACGGGAATCGAACTGAACCCAAATTTTCGGGTATTTATTAAATAGAAAAGTACAGTCCAAATTTAATTATGAAATCGTTCGGGTTCAGTTGAATTCGATTTCATTTGGTTCCAGAGTTCTATATAATAATTAAAATTTTTAATATTTACAATGCTACATTAATTCAACTAATCATATGTTTAATTTTATCTCTTACAAAATAATGTAGTTCAATCTATGCATTTTTTGGCGTCTCTTTATTGAGTTATTCATGGATTTTTTATTGTTAAAATTATTGAAAAAGAAAGATAACGTGTTCACAATAATGAAAAAAGGCATAGTCGAGCTTTCAATTCGATTTCTCCAGAACTGTAGAAACAACATTACGATAAAATTATAGATTTGGGTAAAATTTAAGTCAACTTGATTAAATTGGATTTAGACTGAAAATTAGAAATAGAAAATCACATTTTGAGTTTGGGCTAAATCAATTAATTAACAAATTTATTAGGAAAAAAAAATTTGGCTTATTTAAGATAAATAAATTAAAAAATAAGGAAAATTCAATTCTTTTCTTAGTCTAGAACTGAGAACCGAACTTATCGATTCTCGATTCAGATATTCGTTCAAGTATTTAACTAAAAAAGAACAGCCAAATTCGATTAAATTTGAGTCAGGTCCGATTTAGTCCGATTCAATTCGGGAGTTTTGTCCAGTCCGAGTTATTGTAGCTCAGCTAGTTGCTACATAATTCTATGGGCTGGGATAAAAATAGGAAATGCGATTATTCCTTTTTTTGAATGAAGGAAATGTGATTTTTGGTGAAGCAGCATTCTAATTTGAGAAAAAATTACTCAAAAATTTTCATTTACAATAGTGACGACGTACTAATAGAATGTAATGAACAAAGAAATACATGCTAGCGAAGTTAATACGATGTAATGTATTTACTAATATTTGACCTCATTAATTTTTGTAATAGATTAAATATAATTTTTGCTAGTTAATTTAGGACTTGAGAAGTATTGTGAATGAAAATCTCTTCTGCACTTCAATTCTCTTACCTGCGGAAAGAAAATGTGGTTAAATATTAAGGTAGTGTTTGATTCACCCAATTTCATTGAAATGGGAATTTTTCGCCCAAAATGTAGTGTTTGATTCACAAGATTTTCCATGGAATTAGTTTTAGCTTTTATTGGAAATTGTTTTATTCCTTGATTTGGTATATGATGAGAATTGGAATTCCCGGTTACTGTAGCGATTTTTATTACTTTTATTTTTTTATTTTTTTTAGGCAATGAAAATCAATTCTAAGAATTATTGTAAAAATATATTTCTCTTTCATTGATAATTTTCACGTAAAACAAAGTCAAACGAACACTAAAAAATAGATGATTTTCTTGAATTTATTATTATTATTATTTTTGTGATGGAAACTAATGTCATCCCTAATACCAGTAAATTCTATCATTTTAATTAATAATTTTCATGTAAAACAAAATCAAACGAATATCAAAAAACACTTTTATTTCAACATTTTTCATGTGAAAAATTATACTAATTAAACACAATAATTTACAATTCCCAACAAAATAATTCTAAGCAATTCAATTCTCTGAAATTCATTTTCCATCCAATTCAATTTCATTTTTGCAATCAAACGGACCGTAAGAGTAAAAATAATCTGAAGTAAATTAAGTAAAAAATATTGCTTGAATTCGTACATATCTAACTAATCTCCCGTATAGACCTTAATGGCCCTGACCTGATGTGTAAATGAACATTTATTAGCTTCTAAAATATATTTTACGTCATGACCCAATCCCCGTTAGTCCTTACATGTGACTCCAATGCTGACTCGTGCCTTGTAGTTCAACAGTTTTAGTGAAAGAGATTTTTCTTACTATCCTTTTGGATTTTAGTTATTTCATTTTAATTTATGTTGAAAAGGTTTTTGAGGTAATTTCTTAGAGCATCTCCAAAAGACTCTATTTATAAAGAGAATTTTATACAAAACAAATAGCACCTTTAAATTTAGAGAGTAACTTTTTTATACACTCGAACAAATTATTTATTTTGATTCTCTATTTTGTTTTTTCCAATGACCATTTAATAATTTTTCCACATATTTTATTTAAATATAATTTTGTATATATTAATGACCAATCAATTCAAGTGTAATTTGAAAAATTTAAATTGTAGAGCATTGAAATTTGTAATGTATTAAATGTAATTATTGTACATTAAGAATAGAGAGTAGGTTTAACTCTCTAAATTTGGAGAATCAAATACACTCTCTACTTTAAAAGGTTAAAATAGAGAATCTTTTGAAACTCATTTTTAAGTATTGACTTTTTAAAATATAGAATATTTTATATTTAAAGAGTCTTTTGGATATGCTCTTAGGATTATAAATTTTTGTAAACCTTTTATTCCAGCAAGCTCTCTGTTGCATAGCTTTATTCTTATTCTTTAGCCCTACCAAAAAATGTAGCTGTGCTGTGTGTGTGTTTATATATATATATATATATATATATATATATATATATATGACTAAAAAACCTGTTCAACCCCGATGCTCGTGGAGCTCATCCCAAATAGGCTAAGGATTACCTGTCCAATCGAGTAAACGATGGGAGTTGGTGCCTCGAATTAGGTACGGGATGGGTATGGAAAATATGGTCGTCGCCCCCTTTAAATTTAATTTCAAATGTAAGTTTTTTATCATATAAAAAGAAAAGAGTTATCATCATTTTTAAAGAGAATGTGAGTTGTTCTTAATAAATTGGAAAAAAGTAATAATATCCACTAACTCAAGAGAGAAAAAGTAAAAAAATAAAAAAAAATAAACAGGGCAGGGCCTGTTCGGAACCGTCCCTATCTTGTCCCAAACCCATTCCGTCCCAATTTAATCGGGTATAGGACTGGACAAGATAACAAAAATACGGGAATGGGGATGAAAATGGCCAACCCGTCCAATACCGTCCCTTCCCATCCTTAAGCATCTGATGAAACTCAAAATGTCTCGTAGGCCAAGGCATCAAATGCACAGGCTGATTGGGTCATCTCACAGTCTCTCTCCTATGACTCACATTCTAAAGGATCTAAAAAAGGTTGAACCCCAACCTTAAGGGTTCCTCACCGCCTCGTCCCTGAAGCATCGTGAGAGAGGTTAATCGCGGGATGTGCCTCAATAGGTCAGGGAACAAGAGCTATCTGTATACTGGTGTTCACAAAGAGTTCCAATCCATGTTTCAGGAATCGAATCTTCACACTGCGACTGCCAACAAGACTGAATATACATCACCCTTTTACTTTGCACCACCGGGATATGCCCTCCGAAGGGGTCTACGATGAGAAAAGCTTCATATTTTCGGAGTTTAGCTGAAATCATTTTCAACCATTTTTTCCTCCTTAATCAAGGTTATGACAATGTGAACAAATTTTACTTTAAAACACTAATGTACAAAAAATTAACCTTAGAAAACTTCAGATGGTTGCATTATGGACATATTTGCGGCATTTTAACCTTGTAAGTGGTGTTTGTTGGGATTTCCTTTTTGATGGGCTTATATGTTTAATTAACCAAATTGTTATATGAGCTATCAATTAAGTAGGATCAATTTAAGCGATCTAGTTATTGGGCTTCAGAAACATCTATTGGGAATGGGTTTCGTAATGTGTAATTACTCATTACTAGATGAATTAGGGTTGGACTCTAATTGAAACCTAGTGTATAAGGAACCTTAAGGGTTATGGTCCGTAATGCAAATCATTCAAGATTGTACATATATTCATTTCCATATGTGAGAGAGGACCCATTAAAGTACCGTGATTAGTTTGTGGAAGATCACAAACTCAATTGATTCATCACCATGGATTCATGTATGTTTTCTCTTTTATAGAATTCTTGATAATTTGACGTGAGATCATTTGGCATGTATGATAGATTGAAATCATTTCACGTTAAGTTATTAGGAATGATCATGATAATTATGATATATGAATTTCTTGATAAATTAAAATTGTTATTTGGCTACCCATATGGATATTTAGGGTTAAATATGAAATATGTATGATTTTCTTGCTTGTCTCAATTTTCTTGGTCACGATTGATAAGGTTGTTTAAAGTTTTCAATTCACGGTACAAATTTTGGGATTTTAGTTTTCTCTTAAGTTGTAATTCATTGTAGAATTGCATGAGAAATTTTAAGATTATCCCTTTTGTTATATAGATATTTTGATTACGAATTCAATAAGACAGTATTTTTTATAATTTATTTTGGAGATTTTCAATCAAAAATGAAATTAAAAAAAAAAAAAAAAAACACCAGTTTATTTGTTACCTAGGTCCCATCTTTCTGGTGAAATAAACTCCTGGATGCCACCCATTGGCACCTAGGCGCTACTTTTCAGATTGTATATATATTTGTGCGATTGTCTTATATCTTCAAATAAACTAATTGAAGCAATATATTACCATTGTAATTTCTATTGTGTATATATATTTATTTTGGGATATTAAGATGTATATATTATATATATATATATATATATATATATATATATATATATAAACCATTGTAATTTCTATTGTGCACATATATTTATTTTGGGATATTAAGATGTATATATTATTTATTTGATCAATGATCGATCCAAAGAAAAGTTACTGATTGGCCAAATAATAAACACACTTGTGGAGATAGATGTGTGATGATTGTTTAATTGCCGTGTGAACAATGAATTGGCCCAAATGAAGGTCATTGTTTGATAAGATTTATTGTCAGCGTTTGATTAC